GCGATAAGGTGACAGACCTTATCTCCTAATATGTGAGTTGTATGCTTCATCCTAGTCTAATGCTAATTGGTTGCTAATATAGATGATGTGAAACCCATGAGTTGGGCCTTTTTATTTTGAAAAATAAGGCTAAGCTAAGACCAACACTAACAGTTTCTTCACAGTTTATCAAATATTTTTTAATTGGTACGTGGAGATTAAGCACAAATATTAGTACATAAGGCTTCACTTTTGTGACGGTAAGAGTGAGGGTTAATTATATGCAATCTTACCATTGCTTTCTTGCGGATGAGTTATTCTAAATTGACTACAAATTGATGTATTGCAGATGTAGAAACTAACAAATACTTGCAACAAAAAATCCATGATTAAAACTTCAAGGGTAGCTCAGTTGGCAGCTGAGCTCTCAAGAGATTGCTTAGTGCAGGGATCTGCCTCAAGCAGTTTTTTGGAAAATCTTTGGGGGCCAGAGGATAAGCCAAAAAATCTTCGGTTGGGGGATTAGTTTCGTCCTTTCTCCGGTTGCGAAGCTTAGTGCACCCACTGTTACAATGAGGGGCTAGCCCAAACGGGCCGTACCCCGAGGACATGGTGCCCGGAGAAGGTTGAATGGGGATAGCTCCTGGCAATGTATCAAAAAAAAAATTAAAAAAAAAAATCCATGATTAATATTTCGTACAGGGCACCATCCAACAGGAACCTAGTTCCAATAAAGAATTACCTATCAATTAAATTATAGTATCAACAAGCATAATTAAAGATGGCGAGCCTGGAGCAATGATAAAACTGTTCCTTGTGACCGAAAGATTACGAATTTAAATTCCAAAAATAATCTGTTTTTGTAGATATGCACGGGTATTATTACATATAGAAATTATCTTTATCCCTACCCTCACTAGGAATTTGATGGATTTTGATATGGGATGATTTCTATCAAGAAGCATGAATGCAGAATATACTATAGAGTAAGAATCAGTTTAAACCAAGGATTAAAGTAATATTGTTTTCTTTGACAGGTGCAGCTGATTTGGCTCAGTATGAAAGCAAGTGAAACTACAATTATTGTAAACTCTTGTCATATACATTTGGTTATTATACACAAACAAATATCTGCAATTGTCCAATTTTGTGGTCAACTCATTTCTTGGAATTGCCAAACTTGTTCATTAACTAGTGTCTAATATATTGTACAAATGTTCATGAACATTAGTCAGGGTTCTTGTGTCCCTGGCATGCATTTACTTCTTTGTGTATCCTTTTAGAAATCAGAGCACCCTGTATTGTGTTTCTAATTGTAAGTATCAAGTTTCTGGTTGTCATAAACAGTTTCATGTTATATTCATTAGTGAAGTATTTTCTTACATTTGTACATACAGTCTCCCCGCATGTGACTAAAATTAAACTGATACCTGAATTTTGGAGCCTGTTAAGCGACATATGGAAGGTGATACCATGCATTGTGCATAGCACAATCACTGAATTTAATAGTGTCACAAGGCAAGTTCAAAGTGGATATTTCTTGGCTTGCTTCATACAATATAATTAATTTCAGGTGTTAAGTACAACTCTCTTTTCAAGTCCCTTACCACACGGTTTTGTTACTTCAAAAAGTATGAGCAGTCTATAATCTACATAATAACATGTCAACTACTTCCTAATATTTTAATGCTGCAACTGATTCTCTGCCAACCAGATTGCTATGCTTTATAGTCATCCCAGCCAACCTATCTTATTGTAAACTATTTATTATCATCTTTACAACCCAACCATTGCTTTGCTATTGCTGGCCTAGTTTCTTTTGGGCCATAAGAACAATGTCACATTGTCCCTTCTCCATTATTTGACTTTTCTCTATTTTATTTTTTTTAATGAGTCTTGGACTCTTTTTCAAATTCCCCCGTTTGGTCACATGGTTAAAAGCAACATGCACTACCTCTAAAGTCTTGGGAGTAATAGTAGGATTATTCTTTGTGGTGGAAATGTTATGGGTTTGAGTTTGAAAAATAATCTCTTTCCAAAAATATAAGGATAGGATCACATACAAACAACCATCATTCCTATCCTTACAAGTTAGGAAATACCATGCACGGGTGTCTTGACTCTTTTTACATGCTGATTAAAAGTAGAATAAATGAGCTTATTTTTAATGGGCTTGACTAATCTCCTGTTATAGGATATCTTTCAACTTTCCTAATGATACTTTGACAATCGAGCCAACATTTTTTTATTTATTTAAAAAATAGTGGGTCCCATAAGAATGTTTCTACAGCATAAGATAAGATATATCCTGCGACATAAGATTATTATTTCTCATTTTTAAAACATACAATTAAGGTGCATTCACTCTTCAATTATAGTAGATTATAAGATCACATGAACTTTAAATTAAATCAAGGTGGATGGATATACCTTACTTGTGTATTTTGTAAAGGACAAACTCAACATAGTTTTTACTAAAAAATATGACTAAATTTGTGCAATTTTTCCTATTAAAAGTCACCTTGATACCTTTCTTCTTGTGACTTAGACATGCATTCACGGGTTTGGTCTTTGTAGACTTGGTTTGCTGTGTGGATCCCTCTCTTTTGTTTCTCTAAATCTACATGCTAGTTGCAATCCATTTGTTTAGTTACAAAGCCGTGTAGTGGTTGGTTTTCTTTCTCATATACAGATTGGAGACAACCTTTAACAGCTATAGCCACAAGGAGCTTTTTCTATGGAGTGAAATGTGAAAAGGGAAGAAATTCTTTTCTGAACATAAAGCTGACTACCTATTTTATTTTCCGCAACAATCTGAACACTCTTTGTGATGCATTCATCCACCACTAACCTGACACAAAGGAAATCTTAGGTGATAACTTTTAGGAAGACAAAAGCAATTAATTTAGAGTTATTGAATTTTTATGTAAACTTGTGAAGTAAAATATTAATGTAATTTGTACAAATTTAGTTATAATTTTAAGGCGATTCTTTCACTACCTTTAGTTTTTAAAAGAGTATTAGAATCTTCTATGATTTGCAGTTAATATTTTGCCATGTATCATTTTTAGTTAAAATATAAATACCAACATAAAATTTCTAACTGCTCTGTTTTATATTCCAAAAACGTGATTAAATGTTTACCATTTACTTTCCACAAAAATAAGGATACCAAAAAAATTCCTAAATTTTATGTTTTTTTTTTCTTGTACATAGATAAATTTTCAAATATTTATTAATCAGGATAACAGTTTTAAGGAAAAAGAGTATTAAACAATTCCTGATGCATTAACATTATCCTTAATATAAATAAACAATTGGCACTTCATTAGTTATCATCTACCACTAACTCCTAAACTGATTTTGATTTTGATGGGATGACTATGACAAGGGGAGTTCCAGCCTATAGGGATTTTATTGCCTCTAGGCCCCATTTTCAACATGAACACATGGACATGAATAAAAAGAGTGTTAAGTAGATGCCAAAAAAAGTTGGCTTCTTTGGCACAAACCCTTTGTGATTAGGTGTTTCCTTAGCGGTACATTCTTTTGCAAATGGCACCACATGGAATTCTAATTCTAAATTCCATGAATTGATAGGTCATTTCACATAATTAATTAGATGGCTCAACCTTTAATGATCATAACAAGACAGTGTAGAAAGTCCTTTTCAACTTTCAAGTGCCCTTTTAGAAGAGTATCATGTGTTGGCACCTGAAGACAAAATTGGTGATTTTTCTTGCCTCTTTTAGTTTTATGTGCATCACCCTATGATGGGTCTTTTTCACAAATTCAACGCAAGAGGCTCAAATTCCAATAACTTAAACGTATATAGTTGAGGAGAACCGTAAAAGAAACAAACAGATACAACTTAAATAGAAATAATAAATAACTAAACTAAAGCTGCTTCTTATTTAAACTTCTTTAAGTTGAAAAATACTTACGCGCTTTTGAACTGTTATGTAGGTTCCAGAAGAAATGGCGTATTAGGTTGAAAATGTGACAACACTAACGAATTCCTTAGAGTCCAAAGAAGCAGGATTTGAACAAGTTACAAGCTAAACAGCAAAAATTGATAAGGAGTTATTTTAACTTAATTAGTGATATTGAGTTTGAGTTTCTCGGAACCTAACTGGCTTTATTAAAACCTATATGATATTACCTCACTCGAATTAGAGTAGTCGAGTGATTGATGAACCAATAAATAATATAAAAATAAAATAAAATAAAAAATTCACAAGGTCTCTAGCAGAATCTGACTCAAGACAATAGTTTTATTAGTAACAATGAAAATGTGGTATGGTATTGCATACAATGAGTTCAAAACATATATATGAAGTTGGTAGTGCAGAGAATCAATAAAACTTAGCAAACAATTGTTTCTACAAATTAACAAACTCGACAAGATTTATTCTTCTATTCCCAAGCAATTGCAATCCAATATAAAATCAGGGGCAGTAAAAAAAGTGTCCTAACTGCTATTTGATCTTATCTTCAATAGAGGCCAACATTGTTAAGCTAAAATGATTGACATGCATGGTAATTGCATTGAGCTAAATTGCTTAAAAACACCACCACCTGAGTGCATTATGTAGTTAGCTCAGGGTTGGTTCAACTCTACTAGACCTAGAAAGCATTCAATCTCCCAATGTAACCACTGCCAAACATTACACCTTTGAAATTGTCTTAAGGGAGAAGAACACATTATCAAGTGAAAGAATTTAAATGCCACTATACTATTGTAACTCACTCTGCTTTTCTTAGCTTTGCAAGAAAGGAAACTAATTGTATACAAGCCTTCTTTGTTTTCTGAAATAAGGAAAATGAAAAGTATACACTATGCAGTAAATTGCACTAGTTGTGCAGAGGGACTTATTAGAATTCCTTCCTCTTATCTAATATGATCAACCACATCAAAACCTCACTGTACAACAAAAACTGACTATGAACAAAATAGCCACAAGACAAACTCAAAAATTGGTACTAAGTACCTGTATCAATTGTCACCATGAAAGAGGGACCTAATAGCAGCACATGGGGCATCGGATTAGCCCATTTTCATTGCAATCAGGGCAACGCTGGAATCCATAATCACCCACCTCACCATCTTCTTCTTCATCATCATCATCTTCATAGTAGATTTTACAACTTCCATAGCAGGTTTCACAAGGCACAAACCTTATAGCCCCACAGGCGTCACATACTCCCCCAGCATCACCTCCATTACTATCATCAATCTTTTCACAACAATCAAGTAATTTCTCAAGTTTTCCATCCTCATGCAGTTTCTGAATGTCCTCAACTCCACCAATGTAGCTCCTCCCAATAAACACCCTTGGCAATCCTCCCTTACCAAACTCATGACCCAACAGTTCTTTAAGCTCCTCCTTGAACCCCAAATGCATTGACAAATCTCTCTCATCCACCCTCACACCCAATCCTTTCAGAATGTGCCTCACATTGCAGCAATCCTCATAAGTCTTTCTCACCCCACGCAGGCTTGTGAAATACAACACCACCTTGTCCTTCCCAAATGGGGCAGGATTAAAATCCATAACAACATCATCACTGATTTTCTTTTCCTCAAAAGAGAATACCTTACTAGCCATACTCTCTTGCTTCTCTAGCGATGACTTCTGGAATGATGAATCAACTTGAAGCTCATCAGAATCTGAAACTCCAGCATTGAGATTTGATGCCTCCTCAGTCATCATCTGAAGCCAAATGGGTTTGTTTGAATCAGAGTCATTCTCTACGAAACTAGACTTGGGTGGATCAAAAGAGAAGCTCTTGAAATGCTTTGGTGATCTGAAAGGGCTTGTGTCTTCAAGGCCTTCCATCAGTTCCCATGTGTTGATAGTCTCAGGCTCACAGGGTGGTGGTGTTGTGATTGGAGTTTTGGGAATAGCTTTTGGTAACTTTTGCTCAATCATATTGGACCATGTCATGGCCTCATTCTTCTCCTGTTGCTTGAAACTGTCACTGTCACTGTCACTGACCTTGCCTTTGGAAAACCCGAAACCATTGGCATGGTTGTGAGATACCTGCAGGTCCAGAGAACCTAATGTAGTTGATGTCAGTGCCACAACATGGTAACTATCCCCTTTGCTTTGAGGTGGATGATGAACATGCATCGAGTAGCTTCTAGGTACTGGGGAATAAGGGGTGTTGCAATGACTACATTTGTTTTGCTTGGAATTAACACAACCCATAATCACACAAAAACCGAATCTGAATTGATAAACACAAAAAACAGTGAGTACAAAACACAGGAATCAATAACGCCCCCCACAAACACAAAGAACAACCACAAATTCGGATCAATCAAAGTGCTTACATTAGTAAACAAAAACAAAAAATGTAGAAATGTAGAATAAAATCAAAAGATTTTCATTAGTTTCAATTTTGGAAGAACCAATAACTAGACTTGAATTGAGTGTAAGAACCAAAAAAGACAGAAAAAAAAAAAAAAAAAAAAAGAGAGAGAAAATTGGAAAGGAAAGAAAGGGAAACTGGGATGGAAATTGAATTCCAAAGTCAAACAAAGAGGGCAAGAGATTAATCATTCAATCACCATTCATATCAAGACAACTGTTACATACACTATTATGATCCCCTCTCTCTCTCTCCCCCTCTCTCTCTCAAGAGTTTTGGAGAAGCAACTGGAGAGGTTTATTATAGACCCAATCAGATGAAAAATGAACAAGAAAAAACAAAAGAAAAAAAGAAACAAAATTTGGGTTCATAAAGGTAAGAGAAAATGGTTGAATGCTATGCTATGCTATGATCACTTGTTTGTTTGCTTTGAATAACTCTCTGTTCCGAAACAAAACTGCAATCGAAACGCTCTCCGTTACTTCCACCCACGTTGTTGTTGTTATTGTTGTTATCTTTATCTTATTTTATGTTTTTCTTTTTTTCTTTTTCTTTTTTGATAAATATTATGTTATGTTATCTAACTAGAGAAAAATATTTGTCATATTAAATGACATAAAATTATGTCATTTTAAGAGAGAAATAAATATAATATAATTTTTTTTATTTAAAAATTAAATTAAAAAAACTATTTACTTTCTCTCTTATAATTTTTATTTTTTGTGTCTATCTCTCTATTATTATCATTTACGTGGAAACGTCTTTCTTTTCATTTTTGTTTTTTAAAAAGGTAGTCTTTATTTAGGTACTGTTGCTGGCGGCAAGTTACCACCAGTCCACCACTCTCACTCAATTTTCGGCGCGTGGTGGAGACTACCGAATCGAAAATATTCCTTTTTCCATTTGAGAGATATAGTGGGATAAGGTGGATCCAGTGATCACACGCTTTCGCTTGGCGTGTTTACCACCGATAGTATGACTGTATGAGGCGTGTTGGAAAGACCCTACCAAGAAAGAGTTGGATTTTAATTTTAATTTTTTTCTCTAATCATTCACTTATTGGTTACTTAAATCAATGTTACGATCTAATTGAAATACTGTCATTGGTTCAATTGATGCGTCATCCGTTAAATCGTATGACTTGTTGGGTTAATATATGAAAACTTATATTTTATATATAAAAATATGAGAAAATATTTTTTCTTTTTAAAGGAAATTTTTTTTTTTCATATTAGTGGCTCATAGCATAAGTGGATTCCATCTTGAAACTTTTTCTCTCCACTATTTTGTGGGCTCCACTTATATTATGAGTCATTAATATGAGAAAAATTTTCTCATTTATAAAGAGAAAATATTTTTCCTAAAAATATTTAAACACATGTAAAAAATTGTTATGCAAAGTTAAAAATATATATAACTTTTGCGAGGATAGAAAAGGTCATATATAATAACAAAAAAAAAAACATAAGAAAAAAAATTCAAGTATAAGCTAACCATATATAATTGTTCTATGAAATATCACCAACTAACCATGTTTAATAATTATAAGGTATTTATCAATAGCTCTTCCCTTAAAAATGGATTTGCATGAAATCAATATGTCACCTTCTCTTAATCTATTGTTACACAAATTATTTCAGTCTTTGAAACTAAAATTTGATATGATTGTAGGAAAGTATATTACTAACAAACAGAATTACAAATTTTTTTGGAAAGGAGTCCCACACTTTCTTAAGACAAGACGAGATAAAAAAAAAAATTATATATAAAAATGCATGACCTGTCGATTTTAAAGACCCAACTGGGTCACTGGTTTTAATAAAACTCAGTCGGTTCGAATTGATTTTCTATGAGTCTGATATATGATCTATTCGATACTTTACTCAAACCAAACAGATGATCGATTCACCAATTATATATATATATATATATATATATATATATATATATATATATATATATATATAGGTAAGATCATTTGACACCGGTGTCAAATTTGAAGTTTGACACCTCATCTGAGAGCCGTTAGATCAAAAAAGATCAATGGTGTCACATGCTTACAAATCAGAGTCGTTGATCTTTTTTGATCTAACGGCTCTCAGATGAGGTGTCAAACTTTAAATTTGACACCGGTGTCAAATGATCCTACCTCATATATATATATATATATATATATATATATATATATATATATATATATATATATATATATATATATATATCTGGTTTTAATAAAACCCAGTCGGTTCAAATTGATTTTCTATGAGTCTGATATATGATCTATTCAATATTTGACTCAAACCAAACAGATGATCGATTCACCAATTATACATATATATATATATATATATGGACATGGACATGCAAGTTAATAATCTTTATATTTTATTTTGACCGAAAATTTGTTTTCTTTTTAGAATAATTTTTAAAGTAATAGATAGTTGTGTTATTTTAGTTAAAATATATTTATATAATTTAATAAAGAAATGTTATAAAACCTGAATATATTTAAAAACAATATTATTTATATTATTTATATGTTATTTTATTTATTTATTTAATTTTTATTTAATGAAAAAAATTATAAATTTAAATATTAGAACACTGTTTTCATATTTAATTTATTAATTAAAAATTAATGAAAATAGTAAATACAAAGTCAAATTCTTTCACTTATACTTAAAATGAATTCAGGTATTTCTTTGTTCGTTAAAATTTGCATGCATTCTTCTTGCAAACTATTATTTGCATACCGTAATACAGACCATAATAGTTCGATGTTGAGGCATTTGTGGTTAGGACTGAACAATAAGGTGGGTGTGCGTTGAGCAAATGGGTGTCATGTTGGCCTTTGCTTATATTTATTGGTTGAGGTCTTTAAATTTAAATTGTGTCCTCCTCAATAGTCAATATTAATGTCCCACTCTTCCTTCCTCTCGCTACGTCAAATAGAAGAAAAAAAATAATAGAACCGACTAATTAATTCATTAAGTTCTTTCCAAAAATAGTATGCTGAGTTATTAGCTTTGTGGCCCAATTAATGTCAAACTTCTATTACATTGTGATAGCTGACAATGACTATTGAATTGAATTTTTGCGTAAATCTTTTTTTTTTGGTATTTCCCTCAATCGTTGTAGGAAGCTTTTAAATTATTCTACCCTCTTTGGAATTTATGCTTTTAATATAAATTTATATTTCGATTAGCTCAATAATTCTTGAGCTGATCACACACGATTGATCAGATCCAATTCACAAATTCTTAACTTGGGTTGTAGGAGAGTGCTTCTTCGAGCTCTATAGGAAACAAATGGAGGAGAAACACTAGGGCATGACCTTAGAGGAATTGCGCCCCTCGATATTGGACCTCTTAAGAATGATCTAGAACATATATCATCCAATTTAGTATAAATTCATACTTTCATTAAATTAAGTGTAATTATTAAAAGAGTTTGTTTTTTTTTTAATAATAGATGTTATAGTTAAATTTGTTGAATAATTACATAACACATCATTTAGTTTTACTTTGTGAATTGATCAAATTAAGTGCTTTCAATATAATTCTCATATTAAAAAAAAAGGAAAAAGTTCACCAATGCCCCTATTATTTACTCTAGAATCACTTATGTTTTCGTGATTTTTTTATCACATATGCCCTCGTAGTTTACAAAAGAGTATATTTTTTTATCACATATGTCTCTGTGATTTTTTTATTTTTTACAAAGCACAGGAGCATATGTGACAAAAAAAACCACATGAACATATATGATTCTGAAGCAAACTACAGAGATATTGGTGAACTTTTCCCTAAAAAAAAATTAAGAAGTATTATATCAACTATGAGAATATATGTACTCTTTTGTTTTTTTCCACTTAGATAGTATTTATATTAGTTTGCCTACATTTTGATTATCTGTCTTACAATTTTGAATAAAGAAAGGTCATGGTAGTACGGATTAATATAAAAGATTCATTAAGGAAAAAAAAATAACTCTAACCAAATTAAGAATTGAAAAAGTTATTCGAGCATGTAATGATATGTTTATCTAAGCTTCACATGTTCATCTTTTGTACTAGAACATTCGCCAATTATGATTTCAGCTACATACTCTAAAAGCAGCTGATAATAATTTCTATATCGATCCAAGCATTAACTCTACTTTTTCTCACCATCTTCTGCATTAAATATAGGGACAAAAATTATGCCCTTGCTCGATTAGAGAATATAATTTCGGGTACCAACTCCTAGGCCATCTCAAAATTTTGGATCACGATACTAGCCTCTTAAATTTTAATTTTGGTAACAATATTTTTTATTTTAATTCCATTGTTAAATAACAAGAGAGAAGAACATTGAAATAAAACTGTGTGTGTTGAACTGATGAAGAATGTACAATATATAAACATACTTATAGGATAAGCCCAGACCTAATACAAACCCTAATGAAATAAGGAAAATACTAATTACAGATATACAAAAGGTATATTTCTAACACTCCCCCTCAAGCTGGAGCGTATAGGTCATATGCACCAAGTTTGTTACATATAAACTCTATTCGAGAATCCCTCAAAGATTTTGTAAATACATCTGCTAATTGCTCATTAGAGGGTACAAAACTAGTTTTAATTTCACTGGCAAGAACCTTTTTTCGAACAAAGTGACAATCTATTTCTATATGTTTGGTTCTTTCATGAAACACTGGATTTGATGAAATATGCAGAAGCTGCTTGATTATCACAAATGAGAGTTGCATGTCCGGTGTCTCCAAAACTTAAGCTCTCTGAGAAGCTGTTTAAGCCGGATGAGCTCGCAAGTAGTAGTCGCCATGGAGCTGTATT